TTCATCATCAGGAATCATTCTCGTGGCACCCCCTGTAAAAAATGTGAAATAATACATAAAATAATATCCCTTGTCCAAAGATATGCCTTTGGGCCGATTTTGATAACAATTCATAAATATACAGTGAGATTATAAAAAAAAAACGAAAAAAAATTCAACTTTAACGCCCTGTATAAAATATAAGAAAAAGGTGGTCATCCTAAGGACAACTGGATATCTATGCAGAAGCCGTCGTTTATATAAACTAATTTCTCTACTCCGTCGATACCTTTTATTTCCGTTGTCAAAATATAACAAAAGCGCGGCCACCGTAAGGGTAGCGATATCTCTTTTTAATTATATTTGAAGAATATAAATAAAAAGGAGTCACCGTGATGGTAACGTGGATATTTGCGTTTTTTGTTAACTCGACTCGGTCAAGAAGAAAAAACTAATCCTCCAGCCCTCAAAAACCCCGGTATTTATACTTAAATTTCCCATATATGTAAATGTATCAGACAGAGAACGACTGTGACTTTGGTGTATAAAGACTATAAAGTTCTGTATTAATTCCTGAATATAGCCCTTACGTCTTACATCTGTTTTGTTCTAGCGACCGTTAGAGTTTACGCGTAGATATTTCTTTTCCCAGAAGTAATTAAACGGCGCCTACGAGGCGGGATACGCTGGGATGTTGTTTGAATTCGAAATAAAAATTTGAATATAATATGTAATATATAGGAATTATTTAAATTAATTATCAACCCCCGGTTGTCGGATTTCAATATGTTACTCTGGTAATAAATTAAATTTTTAAAAGGTACAGTTTATATACTCGTAGATTGGCGTCTGTTGGAATAAAAGATGATTGTCATTGGTTGATGTATTATAGCCTTAAATAATCATCTTTATTTTTTTACTTTGTTGTATTTTACTCCTCAATATGTTCCCCATTCTAGGCCATTTCAATCTCAATTCTCCTTAAGATTGCAGACATATTGTCCTGTTGCTCTAATTTATAAATTTAAATAGAACCAATGCAGGAAACTGACTCATGTTTTCAAAAATTTCCCTTCAATCAATTTTAATAGAAAGGTGAAAATTTTTAATAAGATAAATAAAACTAACTTATTTTTCTCATATAATTTAAAGCTTTATTTTCTACTTTACAGGTTGATAAATTTACCTCAATGTTTGAAAACTGTGCTACAAAATGTGTAGATAAACAACTCGATTTTATACCTTCCCTGATGAAAAGAATGAAGGCACATTTGTCTAAAGAACACAATACATAAATTAATTATAAGTGTATTTGTTAATTTTTTTAGAACTGTTAGAGAGTTTAGAAATAAAATTTTGTTGGTATATCATTTGTTTAAATACGTTATAGTGAGAATGTGCTGCAACCTGCAAAAAACTTCATGAACAGATCATCAAACAATTTATTGCCTTTTGCTGTAATTGAAGGGAACATGAATGAGACGATTAAAAGATACTACTTTTGGCCTTTCAATAGTGGCCCGTCATTATGTTGGTTGATGGTGGTCTTATGAAGAGTAAGTAACTGTATTGGGTAAAAGCATGGTAAAAGTCAAAAGGCTTTTAACTGCCTTAGACCCAACCCCAACAATCCAGGAGGGCTTCGTCCCGAATTCAAACTGAACGAGTGGACGTGTACTATGAGGCCAGTCTCGGATTGTTGGTATTAAGTATTCATTGTAATTTTTTACTTTTACATGTTGTTAATGTAGAATACTTTTGGTAGAAGACATTTTTCCCTATTATTATATTATACAGTGAGCATCATAAGTCTTACCCCCCCCCCCCCCTAACTAACTCGTTACTGGAGTCTTGTTAGGAAAATCGCCGAGACAGGTCGATTTTTGTTTTCTACAATGTACATTTTTGTATGATTAGTTTACACTTAATTTCATCCCTTACTGGAGGGGAACAACCCTTTCGAAAAATTTAAATGGCATGGGGTGGTGAGTGATAGCTCATTTGAAAGATGGTTTTATTCTCTATTCAACCGTGCAAAAAATTTTTAAATTTGCTTCATTACGTGTTGATTTATTAATGTTTAAAAATAACAAAACCTCACAAAATAGGAAAGCAACTAAACTAATAGTGACCTTCTAATGCAAAAAGTCTTACTTCACGTCTGAACCAAAACCGAAATCATGCAGGGCCGAATTTTAATTCTAAGGATGAGTGCGCTACGTTAATTTCCGTTATTCTGAAACAACAATTAGTCGAGAATTAATGAAGCAAATTTCAAAATTTTCCTAACAAGACTCCAGTAACGAGTTAGATAGGGGGGGTAAGACTTATGGTGCTCACGGTATAGGTAGCTGAATTAAATAAAATGCCTACAATATTCTATACTGGAATGCCTTCTGTTTTACTACAGAACTTATAGTTCAAACGGTATTACTGGTTAAAGAGGCACTGTCTAGTATCATATGCCTGGCACACGGCTTTTATTAGCAGTCAGTATTATTGTGGTAAAAGGCCTGCAATTTCCCGTTAACTTCCCATCAATAGGACATTAATTGCCAATATATTTATTTCTAGACATTAAATGGAGGCCTATTAACTGGATTTGATGATGGCTAATAAGTGACTTAGGCCCGACGTATATATGCCGGCCTTTAAATTATAAAAGTTTAATGGCCATCATTAAAATTGGGGGGGCAACAGTTATTGGGACTTCTATTCCACTACACAAAATGTCGGAGAACGACGGTATTAAAAAAATACGTATGACACTCTGGGACTGCCGCGGTAAAGCTATATTGCATAGCATTTTTTATAAACTTATGCAATTATAATTATTTATTTATTTTATTTATGCAGTATTTTTTTTTTCTTTCATATTAATTTAAGTTACACTTTTTGAGTGTGGTGTCCGATAAGAAAACAATTTTTTTTCTTTTATTGAATAAATGAGAAGTTAATATTGTTTAAAATATTTTTATTATCTTACAATACATGTAGGTTATTCAGGAATTTTTATAATTGAAACTATAGGTTTATGGTAACTGAAATAAGTAATATAAGTTTGAGACTTGATATCCTATAAACATCTGGAAAATACCTCGTCAATGGTGGTCCCATATTTTGTTGTTGATTCTTGTGGATCATTATTCATTTTCAAATTCAATTTTTGTGAAATTGTGTCTAAAAGAAATAGAATCAGTTATGAGCAGTTAGCAGCTAGTCTACACGCATACGTCTAATCGTACGCACGCGAACACCATCCCGAACTGAAACGACGTTAGACGATGCATGGCTTACACCGCGCTGTGCCGGCCGAAGTGGGGGGTATTAGGTTTATTTTCGTTACGGAATTTCTTGATTCGGTCGCCGCGCTCAAAGCCCGCGATAAAAGCTATGCAATAGCTTATAAAGGTAGAAATTGAGTTAGCTCTAAGTTAAAATTTGAATTTTGAAATGTTTAAATACTACACAGCCGATATTATACTTACTTTTTTTAGCTGAAGCAATAAATTCACTTGTTTAACAAATCCATAGACTTGTATTAAAACCAACACTCTTATATATTTTTTAATTACGAATTCTATCGAAAATTCTATTGTCAGTGCATGTACGAAAAAATCGTCCGTTAGTTCATAAGTTAGGGTATGGTCGCTGTCAAAAAATCCTGGTTACTTGCGGTTCGTAGTCGGTTAATAACGGACCATACCCTTAGTTACCACTGTTGTCATGTACGGAACCTAGTAGTACGGAGCGAATACATAACCCATTAATGAATTAAAATGCCTTAAATCAAATTTGCAAAGTTGGCCATGTCAGTAATACGATACGTTATATTATTTGTCACAATTTGAATTCGTTTTTGTCCATATAAAAATTATAGCTTTGATAAACATACAAATCTTGTCAACTTTAGTTTCCTAAAATAGAAGCGCCTCTCAAATGCCAAAAAAATGTCCAGTGTAATTTCCACCGACCTTGATATTAAACTGGATGGCTACAGACAGACACATGGCTATTTTGGCTATATGACACAATTGACAAACCCAACTCCTAATTTATAAGCCAACACGGCAGAAAAAATGGTCGGTGCGCATGACAATTTGGACGCCAGACTGTCACGTTTCCCACGGGCTTACTATGATAAATTATATTATTTTTTATTAATAACGGGCTATTTTAATAATAATTATTATTAATATTGGAACATTTGTTTTAACTGCATATTAATCAAAAATAATTTTTAAGTGATTTTCTTAAATTAAAAGGTGTTGTAGTTGAATGTAATAAGTGTTAAATTTAATTTTGATGTTCCTTTTTAATGCATTTCGATATGCACGTGTGGGCGACACAGTGCCAAATATCACCTCGCTATGTGACTTGATTTTTTGATCGGCTTTGTTCTTCCAGTTTAATAGGTAGTTCAGTGGTAATTTCGTGTTAGTTTCCCATCTTTGGATGAAACGTTTTAAAATAACAGCATTTGATAGGTTATAAAATAGAGGATACATTTTCTAATAAATATATTACCTATCTTTATTGGGTCACCCTGTGTAAAAATTATTTTTTTATTAAATTTTATAAATATTTTCCAATAAATATATTACTTTTGTAACGTTTTAACAATTTTCCTACTGTTTTATAAGAATAATAAATTAAAAATAAAATGAAAACCACTGGATTCTGCATATTATTTTATTTTAAATATATATTTTTAGGGTACAACAACCTTTATTTTTAATAATTAAAATCGATAGAAACACTCGTCCATTACGTAAAGCAATTGCATCTGCAGGGACGTCATGAGGCGACATTTGGCAATACCGTACTTCACAAACAAATTTGAGAAACTCGGCTATCCTGTTGAATAGTATAAATTATTGGGCAAAGTCCAACAGACAAATATCTGTCATCAACGTCAGTCGTCAATTACCTGCCAAAGTCATAATTTATTATCAAGTGTATCAAGTCAAAAATGAAATTTTTATTGTCGGAGAATTCATAATTTTTTATTTAGAAATGTACAACTATTAAAACAGGCATCAACAAAATGAATAACGCAAAATTACAAGAAGTTTACAGTGATTTAACCTTGTATGTACAAGTACATATTCTTATGTTTTTACTATTTTTAATAATTCATTTCGTTTTAGGTACACTACCCCCGATAAATTTTTCCTCGAGCCCAAAACTGGTGATGAACTTATGGTGATAGAGAGAGCTTCTGAAAATATAGTATGTTTCAAAAATAATCATAGACATTTGATCCCTGCAGCTAATAGCAGAAAAGATTTTTGTGGTCTTATTGGTATAGTACATCTACTAGCATGTCCATATCTAGTTGTAGCTGTTCAAAGAGAATTAGTGGGTTATATAGCGGGTTGTGCAGTTTGGAGACTGGTTAAAGCTGAATTAATTCCATTTAGAAGTGCATTGCATTTACCTCCAGAAAAACAAGCTGATAATGAAATATATTTAGCTATGGTAGAGTCTGTATTATCTACCCCTTTCCTATATTTTTGTTATGATTATGATCTTACACATTCCTTACAACGATTACATGGAATAAGTCCTGATTTCTGGAACCAATCAATATGGGATAGAGCTGATCAAAGATTTGTTTGGAATGGAAACTTATTAACTCCATTTAAGGGCTTGTATATTCAAAAATTTTGCTTACCTTTAATTCATGGTTTTATTTCCATAAACTTCTGTGTTATAAATGGCCACAGTTTGAACTGGTCAATTGTATCTCGTAGAAGTGTTCAGCGTGCTGGTACCAGATTACATAGAAGAGGCATAGACAAAGATGGAAATGTTGCTAATTTTGTTGAAACTGAACAGATTGTTGAATATCAAGGGGACCATGCAAGTTTTGTACAAATAAGAGGTTCAATTCCACTATTTTGGCATCAAAATCCTGATTTACGTTACAAGCCTCCTCCCACCCTATTAGAAGTTGATCCACAAGATCATCATTCCACTTGTTTAAGACATATGAATGATTTGATGACCATGTATGGAAAAGTTGTTTGTGTGAATCTTGTTGATCAAAAAGGAGCTGAAGGGAATATGGAAATAGCTTTCCAAAATGCTATAAACAATATGTCGTCTCCTTCCATTCGTTATGAGTATTTTGATTTCCATGCAGAATGCAGAAAAATGAGATGGGATAGGTTATCAATTCTTATAGATAGGCTGTCTCATGATCAGGATGAAATGGGTTTCTTCTTATTACTAAGAGATGGTTCATTAAGTTCTTTACAAGATGGCGTTTTTAGAACTAATTGCATTGACTGCTTAGATAGAACTAATGTTGTGCAAAGTATGTTGGCTCATAGAAATCTTGAAAGCGTTCTAAAAAAATTACAGATTCTTCAACAAAACCAAACACTGGATTATCAATATTCCTTTGAGCTTCTTTTTAAGAATGTTTGGGCTGATAATGCAGATATAATTAGTACCCAGTACTCAGGTACAGGTGCATTAAAAACTGATTTTACCAGAACTGGAAAACGTACCAAAATGGGATTGCTTCAAGATGGCCTAAATTCTCTTATTAGATACTACAAAAATAATCTAACAGATGGATACCGGCAAGATTCTATTGACTTGTTCTTGGGTAATGGAAAACCAATTTCACCGCTACATATAGATAAGGGTTGGAGATATGTAACTTATCCATCTGTATTGTTAATTGCTGTAGCCATGTTTGTAGCTTGTGCAGTCACCCCTTCTGAGTATTCAACGGATTCCCTATTGTTTTTGTTATTCTGGGGATCCATGGTATATGCTACATTGCATACGATTCTCAAATATGGATCGGAATTTGTGGACAAACCCAGACTCACACAGTCCTAGCACTTCATCTAGTCGCAGTAGTTGTTTCATGGTACAAGTTGGCATTTTAAATTATAATACCAAGGGTTGCTGGTTTGATTAAATGATTTTAATCTAATTTTCGAAAGTAAAAATTCCATATTGTTTCCATCCATTATAATGGTTTTCAGGTATTTAAAATTGAATCAATTATCTTGCACTGTATTGGTCAATTGGAAATAATGTCTACTAATGTCAACCTTAAACAATAGAGCCACTAAATTATTTTTAAATAAATTAATAAATTTGTTTATACGAAAAATGTATAAATAGATTTGGTTGGTTATATTTCTGAAATATTTCAGAATGTAGATTGAAATCAGTTAAAGATGCTAATACTCTTGGTGTAGGCACCAAGCTTCATATTCTAATTAGGCTATAATTTAGAGGTTATGTTGGAAAAAAGAAATACCAGCCCCTTTGCAATTAGTAATTAATATATTTACATATTTTTTGTTTTTATGTATATAGTTGGTGAAAATGTTATTTTTTATTATATTATTTTACTATTGTTAAAATTAACTATTGTTTCTTAACATCCAAAAATAAAACTAGCAATTAAATAGATATTTTTAGAAGTCAGAAAATTACTTGCTAATCATTTTAACCTAAGGTTAAAGTATATAATACCTATGTGATATTTATTGAAATGAAGGTCAGTCCATTTATGTTACAGTGTCAAAAGTTTATAATCTTTTTTAATTTTTTTTTACCCATAGGAATCATTTTCTATTCATATTATTTAAAATTAATTGTACTAAATTTAATTTTTGACACTTATTTCTAAAAATAAAAGCAGACATGTAGATTCTGATGTCGAATATTTTGCTAATAAATATGTTTGCTTTCTTTATTTATTGGAGCTATTTAACATAATATCCCTAGGCTCAACTGCGTGTGAAAACTACAGATAGCCAGCACTAAAGCAAGTAGGAAAGAAACAAAACCAGCATTGCCATTTATACAACCCGATGACCTTGTAACGTTCGGAACGCCGTATAGACTGGCAACACTAGTTTTATTATTATTATTATTATGTTTTGGTATCACTATCTCTAGGATAGGTGGGACCACATCCCCAACTAGTCATTCATAAAAGTGTATTTGTTGTGAAGTCCTCATCATCATCTATTGTATAGTCCAGGAGACAGTGACGATTTTCGGTATTTATTTTTCCAGTCAGCAAGCCTGAATAAAGAATTGTAGGATTAGCAATTCTAAGCAAAATTCATATATATTTAGAGGGGGGATCCGATGGGCTGAGGCCGAAAATGCGTCAAAACATACGAGAACACGGCCCTTTTTTTCCATTGATAAAAATAGTTTTAGTAGTAAGAGATGTACTGAAGTTAAGTAAAAAAATAGTCTGATTAATCTGTATGGATAATATATTTGGCAAGTGCATAAAATACACTTTCAAACGAGTTATGTACACAATTATTTCTACGACCACAATTATTTAAAGAATGTTCCAGGTGTTTTGTATATTAAAGTGTACGCATAGAACACATAAATAAAATCTTATATCACAATGTTTCACCTAACCAGTTGGTTTATTTATAGAAATTAAACATAATAATTGAAGATATTACAGAAGAAAATAGGGAAATAAATTACATTTCCTCTTACACTTTTATATAATAATTGTTTTATTTAGAATTCACGAAACACTTATTATTCTACATTAATTATAATTATTGTTAGTTTCGTTGTCAAATCATTTATACTAGAGGTGTGAGGAAAATACAGTGAACTGTGGAACGCCAATATCGTTGGATGCGCGTGGTAGAAATGGTCCTATAATACTGCTAAAAATATAGCTAAATTTTCATGGAAACACTGTACTTTTGACATTTGCGATACCCCGACGCATATGCATTATTGATGTAATCTCATGATTTTACAGTAATAGTTTTTGCAATTTTAGTTTGATTTTTAGGTTATTATGGTTATTCATTTTATTTGGTTTTGATCTTTTGCGCTTTTAGAGTATTTGTCTTCTATATAGTTTTTAATTTGAATTTTAATATTGTGGTCTATTTATATTTGATTGCTGCTTTTCGACTAGTGCTTTATTCTTTTTGTGTTAAAATAAGCTTTATAACCATTAATTACATGCTTCTAGTTGATATCTACCCAGAACCGAAAACTATATAGGTATATAATATGTTTTTTTTAGATTATTTTTTAATATGTATGCAGCTTGGATGAGGGCTTTAGGAAGAGATCTTAAGACTGAAACACTGACTGCTATAAATGCCATTTTTAGAGCACATTTCATAGTAAGTGATTTCATTCTAGCAGGAATGAGAAAACGTTTAAAAAACATGCTGTACCAGCTATTACTTTAAGACCTCGTCTCTTTAAGTTATTATTACTTCATTCTAATGCATATAAAATGGTTTTTAACTTGTGCCCTTATGATTAAAAGATGTAGGTATTTTAGTTATGTTATAATAGAAATATATAATACATTGTATTGACTGACCTACTGGCCACTGGTCGTTCCACATTTACTCCCTTTTTTCATAAATTATTAAATTATTTAAAAACAAATACATACCTAGCTATTTTCTGTAAATTACATTAAAAATGTAAAAAACGTATTTCTCATCTATTAAATTGTTATTAACGATAAAGAATACTTTTAATTTATTAAAACAAAAATAAAACCTGAATCGATAACTTAAATCAGTGAAAATAAGTTGCTTGAGATGGGGTCGTTTTTATGGAAAATTTTAGTGTTAATACTTTACTAATAAAACTTCAGTTAATTTATCTTATATATACCGGGTGTTCTAAATTAAAGCGTTATAGCTGTATGCCGCTTTTTATAAAAAAAAAAAACGTTTCAGACGAAAGTTTTATAGTTTTGTAGGGAAAAACTTTTGGCTAAAATCGTTTTTTATAGCTAACCATAATATGGCCAACTTTTTTTTCGCGCAGCAACATTTTCAAGTAGCTTTTACTCAAAAAGTAAAAGTCCAATAAAAAAATATTTCCTTCAAAAGTTTCTTATTTTTTTATGTACTTTAAGAATATGTAAGAAAAAATGGGATTCCCATTTAAAAAAAAACAAAGTTTATCTCGATATGGCCATATTATAGTCAGCTATAAAAAAATGAATTTAGCCAAAATGTTTCCCCCAAAAAACTATAAAACTTTTGTCTGAAACTTTTTTTTCTAAAATGCATATTTTCGGCGGTATTTAACTGTAACACTTTAATTTGAACACCCGGTATATACAACGGAAGAGTTAATTGGATTTTTTCGTTGTTGAGTTTCAAAAATAGTAATTTAACATGTTTTAAAAACAAATACATGAAATGGGCAAAATAGGCCTGCAAAGGCACTTTGTAAACAATCTCACTTGTATCGATGTGACGTAATGCGCGAATTCAATCCGGCTTACTTTTGTTAATAGATTGGCGTTCCATTTTAAATATACAGTTCACTGGGAATAGATTATTTAAATATACACGGACCGGGAAAACAAGTACGAAAAAAATTCACTGGCTCCTGGACTAGTATTGTATCGAAGGAATTAAATGAATGAAACAATATACGACCCTCCACAATTGCAGTGTGATTGCGGTCTACTCTAGTTCCGCTGTTGTCAGACGTTATTTTTTTTGGACAATTTAAAGACCTACAGTTCATCAAATTTCTAGAGGCTTTCGACGGCTAGACAGAGAAAGCACTACTGACAGGCATCCCGACGGATTTACGCAATGAAAGTACACTCTGCGCATCAAGTATTTTACTAATTCATTCAGACGTAAATGTCAGATGTAAATTTCGCTAAAACATTTCTTTTATTTTCGTTTGTGTTTTTTGCTCATTACAGTTTAATAGAACCTAAGTATGGAGTTTAATAGCAAATTAAGAGGCCGCGTGATTAACAGTCAATCTCGCGAAATAATAGCCAATGTTATAGAGTTTATGAGAAGAGAAGGAAACTTTAATTCACCTTCAATACCATTTAAAAATGTATATGATCGTGTTGCTGCAGCCACAGGAGTATCTAAAAACACTATCGTCCGCATTTCTGGAGAGAAAAAAAGAATCGATAACCGTGAGATATCGGAATTTTCATCACCAAGAAAAACCATTAAAAAACCAAAAACAGTTAATGATATAGATGAAGCTGCACAAGAATCAAATTTTATTTTTTTATTATTAGATAGCTATTTTTGTTTCTGAGTTGTGTTCATTTACAGGCTCAATTTTTTTCCGTTTCTCCTTTTTGATTTTATATGGGGTTTCAAGTTGTTTTTGACTTATTTCGACGTAAATCACAACAACACACTTTTTTAATAAAGCAAACAAGTGTTAAGAGGTATATGTACGTGTAAACTACAATTACAAAAAATTGATATGAAACCCATAAAACCACCAACAAAAATGTAAAGCTAGCTTCCGTACTAGAACATGGTGTCATTCGTCGAGATAATTTATCGTTTTGTTTAATAGATCAAGAAATGTAAATATTCCCCTGTTATTTTTTATAAAATTATAAGAGAAATAAATTTTTTTCTAAATAGTATAGTTTATTATTAGCTGCTTTTAAAAACGTTCTAAGAAAGTCCAATCAGACCAATTTAATCCCTAAACTATTCCACACTTTTAAAATTTAATTACCTAAAAATATTATAAAAACTATTTAAAATAACTTGTTTAGCAGACTGTACAATAGCTATCTTAGTCACACGTAGCGCGTTCTCTGTCTGGGCGTCGAACACCTCTAGAAATTTGATGAACTGTAACAGTATTTCAAGCAAACGCAATAACATTACTACAGTTAAAAACATCGCAAACTTGGCAACAATATTTTAATTTTATCCAAATATTGCATTTCTGTCGAGGATCATCCGCGTTGACTTCAGAAATTGTGTAATCTGTCTTGGTTATATATATCTATAGTTAAAAGCACGTAAACTTGGCATCAATGTTCAATCCGATTATTGGGTTTCTACCGCGGACACCACCGTTCATTCTTCAAAAATTTTGTAAATAATCCTATCTGTCTTGGTTATATATCTATGGGTGGGACACATGATACTATTACTCGAGAAGATAAGCCCACTTGACGATCCAATTTCGATCACGTTTGCGCATGACGTCACCCGATGACAACAATCCAGCTCGTGGGCATGGAAAAGCATTAAGCTACAGCGGTTTTAATCAATATTTTATGTTTATTTATTATAATATCGATATATTATTTTTATAATATTGATATATTATTAAATTAAATATTTTTTGGCTTGTCTAATCATCTTAAAATGTCTCAAAACGTGTAAAAAAAGTATTATGAGCAAAAAAGAAAATTTCTGTTTATCGGTATTCACCATAACTTTTAAAGGAATTGCGCTATAGATAGGTGTTATTCCATTAGGGGTCGGATTGGAATAT